AACAAATTAACTCAATCAGAAATGAAAATGGAAACATTACAACTGATACCACAAAAATACAAAAGAGAATCCAAGACTATTAAGAACACCACTATGCAAACAAACTAGATAATCTAGAGGAAATTGATACATTCTTGGAGATATACAATCCCCTAACCTTGAATCAAGAAGAATGGAAACCCTGAACAGACCACAATAGCAAGGTTAAATCAGTAATCAAAAGTCTCCCAACAACAACAAAAAAGATACCAGGACCTGACCAACTCACAGTCGAACTCTACCAGACCTTCAAAGAAGAACTAGTACCAATTTTACTAAAGCTATTCCATAAGATTAAAAAGGGAGGAATTCTTCCTAACTCATCCTGTGAAGCCAGAATTACCCTAATAACAACGCCAGGAAAAGACACACACACACAAAAATAAAACTACAGGCTAAAATCTCTGATAAACATAGATGTAAAAAGTCTCAACAAAATACCAGTAAACCAAATTCAACAGCACTTAAAAAAATCATAACAAAGTGGGTTTTATCCCAGGAATCCAAGGACAATTCAACATTTGCAAGTCAATAACCATGATCTACCACATAAACAGAATTAAAAGCAAAAGTTATGAGATCATTTTAATAGATGCAGGAAAAGTATTTGATAAAATCCAGCATCCTGCCCATCGAAGCTGAACTGGATTTGTTTAAATGTGGCACATATACACAATGGAATATTATGCAGCCATAAAGATGGACAAACATATGGACTTCGCATCAACTTTGATGGATTTTGAGTCTATCATACTCAGTGATCTATCACAGAAACAAAGAACAGAGTACCATATGTTCTCACTCATAAGCGGACTGGAAAAATTATCATAATACTATAAGAAAGGGATTGGCAGTAGTGGGAAACTGCCAGGGGAGGGAGGTGGGATTGGCAGTTGAAGGGAGGGAGGGGCACACCTCATCAACAAGGGTACCTGCATAATGAACATCTGTATGCCTAACCCTGAATTGTGCACCACATCTTTAAAATAAATAAAGAAAAAAAATCCAGCATCCCTCCATGATAAAAAATGCTCAGCACAATAGGAATAGAATAAACATTCTTGAAAATAATAAAAGCCCTATATGAAAAAACAAGTCAATGTCATCTTAAATGTAGAAAAATTTCATGCATTCCTCCTCAGAACAGAAACAAGACAAGAATGCCCACTTTTACCACTCCTGTTTAACATAATACTGGAAGTCCTAGCCAGAGAAATCAGACAAAAGAAAAAACTAATTGGTATCCAGGTAGGAAAAAAAAAATCAAACTGACTCTGTATGCCAGTAGCATGATCTTATACCTGGAGAATCCAAAAGACCCGTGGACTTGATAAATGAATTCAGTAAAGTCTCAGAATGCAAAATCAACACACACAAATCAGTAGCACTGCTGTACACCCGTAGTGGCCAAGCTGAGAATCAAATCAAGAACTCAATTTCTTTTATAATAGCAGCCAAAAAGCTAAAATACCAGGAATATATTTCACCAAGGAGGTGAAAGATCTCTACACGGAGAACTACAAAACTCTGATGAAAGAAACTGTAGGGGACACAAACAAATGGAAAAACATCCCATACTCATGGACTGAAAGAATCAACATTGTTGACATGACCGTACTCCCAAAGTCTACAAATTCAATACAATTACCATCAAACTACCAACATCATTTTCACAAAATTGGGAAAAACAATCCTAAAATTCATTGGAGCCAAAAAAGAGCCAAAATAGCCAAAGCAATCCTAAGTAAAAAGAATAAAGCTAGAGTCATCATACTACCTAACTTCAAATTATATTACAAGGCTATAGTAACTAGAACAGCATGGTACTTTTACAAGAGCAGACACATGGGCCAAATGGAACAGAATAAAGAATCCAGAAATAAACCCAAATACCTACAACCAACTGATCTTTGGCAAAGCAGACAAAAACATACACTGAGAAAAGAACATCCTATTCAATAAACAGTGTTGGGGAAATGAGATAGCTACAGGGAAAAATGAGACTAGATCCCCATCTCTCACCATATGCAAAAACTAATTCAAGGTGGCTTAAAATTGAAATGTCAGACCTAAAACCATAAAAATCCTAAAGGAAAACCTAGAAAAAAACTCTTCTGGAGATTGGCCTAGGCAAAGAATTTATAACTAAAACCCCAAAAGCAAATGCAGCATAAACAAAAGTAAATAAGTGGGACTTAATTAAACTAAAATATTTCTGCAAGCCAAAAGAAACAATCCACAGAGTAAATAGCCTACAGAATGGGAGAAGATATTCACAAACTACACTCTGACAAGGGACTAATACCTAGAATCTACAAAGAACTCAAAAAAATCAGAAGAAAAAAGCAAATGATCCCATTTAAAAGTGTGCAAATGACATGAACAGACACCTCTCAAAAGATATACAAATGGCCAACAAACATATGAAAAAAAATGTTCAACATCACTAATCATCAGGGAAATGCAAATTAATACCACAGTTAGATACCACCTTACACCAGTCCGAATGGCCATTATAAAAAGTCAAAAAACAAGATATTGGTGAGGATGTGGTGTAAAGGGAATGCTTATACACTGTTGGTGTGCATGCAAATTAGTACAATCTCTATAAATATTCATATGATGATTTCTCAAAGAACTAGATCCAGATCTACCACTCGATCCAGCAGACCCACCATTAGGTATCTACCCCCAATATGCCTGCCCTAGTATGTTTATCACAACATAATTCACAATTGCAAAGATGTGGAACCAACCTAAATGCACATCAACTGATCAGTGGATAATGAAAATGTGACTGAATATACATATATATATGCATATATATATGCGTATATATATATATAATGGAATACTATACAGCCATAAAAACAATTGAAATAATCTTTTTTGCAGCAACTTGGAGGGAACTGGAGAACATCATCCTAAGTGAACTATCTCAGGAACAGAAAACCAAACACCACATATTCTCATTTATAAGTGGGAGCTAAACTAAGACTCTGCAAAGGCATAGAAAATAGTATAATAGAAAATGGAGACTCAGACGGGGGAGAATGGGAAGAGGTGGAGGGATGAAAAACCAGCTATCGGGTACAATGTGCACAGGTGGGGGTGGTGGGTACACTTAAAGCCCAGATTTCTTCACCACTATACAATACATTCATGTAACCAAAAGCTATTCACACCCCCTAAAGCTATTGAAATAAACAACATACACATTATGCATTCATTTATTAATGTATTACCACATATGATAATAAAGTATACGTGCACACATAATTTGTGGGTCTCTATGTTTGCATACATACCTGCACACAGTTTACCAATAATATTTCTACCTCTTGTCCTTTTCAGTTTTATTGCCTTGGACATGTTACTTAACCTCTGTTGTCTCTTCATCAATCTGTTTTCTCTGTCCTAATGAGGAAAAAAATTGCACCCCTTGCCGAAGAAAGAATTCAATAAAATAGCCTACGAAAGTACTTTTTAAGCAGTAAAGGACTACACAGACATAAGGAGCCAGTATTTCAAATTAAATGTGTAAGAAATTCATAATCTCAGGAATGAACTGTGAATCAGAAGCAGCCTTCTTCTCCCCCATCCTTCCTTCCTAAGAGTTTAAATAGCTGCGTGAAGAGAAAATGTTCAGCATCTTTTTGTAAGTTGATGGCAATTCTTCGCTAGGAAAAGGTCTTTTCAAGAAAGAAACTCAAGTCTTTCCATCATCCATGTGCGGAACATCTGTGCTAAAACCATTCCATGCACACTTCTTTGAAACACTGGCTGCCTAGAGGAATACTTTGATTTTGGCTTTATTTAAATGCCTGAACTTCTATTGGAGAAACAAAAGGTTTTCTAGTAAGAGCTCAGATGGGAACAAGACCAACCTCCAACCAGTTTAACCATTCAGAGGCCAAGTCGCCTGGCATTTCTTAGAGCCACCCTGCCACGAAAGTCTCCCTGAGAACTTGCATCACACACAAACAGCTGGTCTGGGATGCTACTGACCCCGGGTGAAATCACTGTGGTAATTAGATTTAATTTTTCTAATCCAACAGTGCCTGACTCTATCATGTCTACGGATCCTCTGAAGAAAATCATTACTCCCCTTTGATAATACTTTGACGTGTTTAAGATTTTTGCAGCTTGGTCCCTTAATGTTAGAAATTACTTCTTTGTAACTGCCCACACAGCCATTCAGACAGCCATGTGCACCAAAGAGTTTAAGGTTATCCTGCTTCGGTAACTTTCCACATAGATCTTAAAACGTTAAGCAGACCTTGAATATCATTATGCACCCCTCTTCCGCAAGTCTTTTGTGCCCTTGAACCAATTCCTTTGGAAAGATGGCATCAGCCACAAGTCACTGGCAAGCCTGAAGGGTCTGGGTGTGGAGTGTTTCTGCAAAGCCCAGGGAAGCATGGCTTCGTGCTACAACACCCTGGGGTTACCCTGAAAGAGTCGCAGAGATCATGGGGCTACGTAAAAACCTGCCTTCCTGGAAGGAGAGAAGGAAAGACATGTATGCATCTAGCCATGTCTGCTCGCGTCTGGAGAACGCCTGTTTATGTTGTAAAGAAAAGCCATGGGTATTGTCATCTCAGGAGACCCGGCTTGTTGTATGCGTGTGCCTGTTCTGCGTGCTATCACACGAAGCTGGCCAACTGATAGCGTGACGAGGTACCGTGTCCCTGGGAATTGTAATTGCTCGGTGGGTGAAAAAAAAAGAACATCAGACCGTTGCTGGTGCAGGCGCAAGGTGCATTTTGCTAGTATAAAAGAGGAAACGGACGGAGTCACATAAGTTCTGAGCGTGCCTTCGCCCCCCAAAAAACAAGAAAGAGAAAGAAGAGGAAGCCTGGGGCTGGAGGAGTGTTGCAGGGAGCGAATCGCTCAGGACTTCAAACACTGGGAGTCATTCTGTCAAGGGGAGGGGGCGGGCGGGGGCAGGCACTGGGCCTCTTTAACAAAGTCCTCCTCTCTTTGCTCCCTCCCACTTCATTCACTTGCAAATCAGTGTGTGCCCACAAGAGCCAGCTCTCCCGAGCCCGTAACCTTCCCATCCCGAGAGCTGCAGTTTCAGCCGCGGCGAGCAAGAACGGCAGCGCCGTGGACCGCGGCGGCGGAGGCGGGAGCAGCCTGGGCGGGTCGCGGGGTCTCCCCGGGCGCAGGAAGGCGAGGAGAGGTGGGTCCGGTCTCCGTCGGCGGTGCTGGCGGTGGTGCATGCGTTTTCCTTTTTTTTTTTTTGTTTTTCGGGTATTTTTCTTTCATGGTTTTAATTCCGTCGCGTCGATGGAAGCCAATCAGAGAGAGAGCGAGAGCCCTCTCCGCCCGGCGGCTACCGCGCGCCGGACTCGGGAGGGATGCTCAGCCCGCGAGCCGG